TGGCAGATTATCATTCATTCTAGACTGGATTATCAACCAGACGACGTATCAGCATCATTGTAGGCGCTAAGCGGTGCTTACCGACCACCGTAGACCACCGTCTAATGTAATCTAGCTCGCGACACATCAACTCTCTCTCGCCCACAACAAATCCGAGGCTCACAACATGTTATCGAAGCTTGCAAAGGATTGGAGCATCGAAGTCCTTCCCACTCGGCTGCTAACATGCTATCTGCGACTATCTGCTACGGCCTGCGTAGGAACTTCTTTCAGGGCATCGAAACTTGACTCTGTTTTTCAAGCACAAGATAGTCGCTGTAGTCTTTCTCCTTACGCCCTGCAGCGTCAATCGCGGGGACGAGTAGCTCAGCCGATTCCTATTCGGCTCGGCCAGGACAACCCGTCCCCGAACGCTTACCAAAGGCGGTGTAACCCCTGAATAATCTTAGCTTTGTGATCTTCCTTTGGACGCCGAATTGATTGTATTCTTGAGCAGCTCTGGCGCAGGATAGATTTAAGCAACGCGCTTCTAGTGAGTTTTTCCACCAGCTCTCCTACAACGAACGATGAATCAGTCTTTGCCAGGAACCTCGGCGGCGCCACTGCAGAAGGGCAAGGCCTGTGTGAATTGTCGGTGAGAGAGTTGCAGATTTAGTTGCGATGCTATTCTCACAGTGCTATTGTTTTCCTGTAGACGCCGTAAGATTGTGAGTCGCGGTCCCGTGTTCGAGCGCTGACGAACTCATGAAGTTTGGCAGAAATGTGATGGTGTTAAACCACTCTGTGGGCCGTGCGCAAGATATTCGACGGCCTTTGGCGACTGCGAGTACACAGAAGACGGCCCCTCGCACGGCGAGATGCTGGAAGGTCAGGAATCGAGTTATTCGATGGCGGCTGGATTTAATCATTTCGATCCAGAACAAATCTCGATCTTGCAAGCTCGGATAGAGGAGTTAGAGAAGACAAGCCAATCTCGGGCTTCATCAGCGCTGCCAGGGCCGTCAAGCAAGCCCCGCAATGCTGCTCCAGCGACGCAGATATCTCCATCAAACACCATGGGTCTTAGTCGTCTGCTGACCCATTTCTGTGCGTAACATCGTCCACGAAAGTACCTTCGCTCTAACAGATATCGCAGATTTACAGCAGACCTCAGGGAGTTCTCTGAATCCAACAACAGCCAACTCGATGCCCACAGTACGCAGCCAGCTCGTATTCATGATCTGAAAGCCTCATCTTTACCGAAGGAACTGCCCTTTATCGTTCTTCAAGCACTGTGAGTCCCGCCTATAATGTATCCCATACACTGCTGAGCGTTTTCCTCCCCCGCAGAGTGCACAATTTCCTGCATAACGCCTTCTGCTTTGGCTTCTTCCTCGACACGCAGGCGTTCCACGATGCCGTGACAAGCAACCCCGGGCGCACCCTGCCCCCGGTCCTCCTCAACGTGCTCTACCTCTGGGGCGTGCACCTCGCGAAGGACTCACGCATCACGGCGTACGAGCCCGCCTTCCTCGCGCACGCCCTGCGCAGCACCGCGGGCAGCCTTGCGGGCACACACTCGCGCACGGTGCTGCACAGCATGCAGGCGTCTGTACTCCTCGCGTACTATTTCGTGCGCAACGCCCGCTTCCTCGAGGGGAAGTACCACGCGAGCGCGGCGGTGGCCATCGCTGTGAGTGCTGGACTTCACCGTATCCGTGGGGCGGCGCCGGCAGCGGAGAGCGTGCTCGCGTGCTCCGTTGCGGGAGTGTTGGGCCCGCCGAAGGATGCGGGGGAGGAGGGTGAGCGGATCAGCGCGTTTTGGAGCGTGCTCAATCTCAACAATTGTTGGGCGGGCATGGACGGCGCGCCATCTAACGTAGTGTACGGCCCAGGCGGGCTGACGATCGACACGCCCTGGCCGCTCGATACGCGCGATTATGTGGAGGTGCGTGGATTATACTGTGTGGGCCATGCATTAATCTCACCGCGATGTCTCACAGCGCCCTTATCTTCTCCCTGCCGAGAGTAGTGGAACCGTCGCAAAGCTCCTCGCCGGCGGTCCAGACACGGCGCGCTCTGGCCCTGCGCTCTACGCAAAGGCTGGCATCCTGTTCGAAGAGGCGACGCGCCTGAACCTGCGCTACCGCACAAGTATAGGTTTCTCTGCACGCCTGCACATTCTTTGCTTAATGATCCTTCGCAGGTGGCATCCCACCGCCCGATCCGGAGTCTAGCGCGCTCGATAGGCGAATCAACACGCTCATACACGCGTTGCCCTCGGTTCGGTGCAAGCGCTCGCTCGTCGTGCACACGCTCGCCCACGGTGCGACGATCCAACTGCACCACCACCTCGCCAAGGAGCGCACGGCCTCGCGTGGCAAGGCCCTCGCGGCTGCGCGCGCCGTCGTCGATATAATTTCGAAGTTAGACGTCCCGAAGATCGGGCTTATCGACCCGGTGCTTGCGGTACGTCCGGTGCATTTCTTGGATATCGCTACGTGCCTGACGCCTTCCCTTTCCAGCCGCTGTGGACGTCCACATGTCTCGTGTTCCTCGGGGAGCTCGGGCGCCAGCCCAGTCAACACGAATCGAAAGACCTCAAGGGCGCGTTCGGCAAGGTTATCGCGACCATGGAGGTTTTCGCGCCCCACTGTCGGCTGATGAGTGAGTCGGCCTTTCTTCCCAGGCCCTATCACGATCCTGACTCATCCTCGTCTAGCCACGCAGCTCGAGGCCGTGCGAAAAGTACAAAGGGGATAGTAGCCGATTGTTTCGAGTCGTAAGTACCGGTGCTCATTTCTTCATGTAAAATTTTGATCGATTTGCTTACCAACTTCTGTATTCCGCTCAGTGCATTCTTGATATCTGTAGACGATTTGATGTTCGAGATTTGTTTTTTTTCAGTCCTTCAACAATCTAGACCAGACCCATCCGGCCTGAACTCGGAGAAACTTCTATCACATCAAGTTCCCAGGCGAGTAGTAGTTGCACAGCGGCCGACCCCAACCCTCTAGACATAAAAAAATGCGGACGAGACCATGGTTCGGGCCTGAGTCGAACAGTCAGGTTCAAGACGAACTGGGATAGACGCGCCCCGAGCGACCGAGCCTTTCCTTACCCCCCGGCGCGTTCCTCATACTCAACACTTTGCGCGCGCGCCAGACAAAAATGGCGTGAGAACGAGACCATGGCTCGGGCCTGAGTCGAACAGGCGGGTTCTGATCAACTCACTCAAGCCCCATTGAGTGCAGATGTTCACCGGGCTACCGAACCTTTCTGTATCCCCCGATGCGTTGTTGCTACTCAATAATTTTGTGCGCGCCAGATAAAATTTAGTGATAATAAAGCCAGACATGGCTCGGGCCTGAGTCGAACAGGCATGATCTGCCCGACATCTAATCAACCATTCTATAGTGCGCAGATACTCACCACGCGACCGAGCCTTTTTCTATCCCTCGGTAAGTCCTCCATACACGATCCTTTTGATATCCCTGACACCGAAAAAAAATAGTTCGAGAAGACTTCTCATGGCTCGGGCCTAAGTCGAATAAGCATAGTCTGCTTTCAATATCTGCTATTAAACGGACTTGGGGCAGATGCGCACCGTGCGACCGAGCCTTTCTTTACCCTCCGGTAAGCTTTCCATACTCAACAGTTTGTGCGCGGGCAGGCAAAAGTTGGTCGACACATCCATGGTTCGGGCCTGAGTCGAACAGGCAAGTGATACTAAATACTAGGACTCCGGGTGTGCTTCGCATGTATATTTCAAGACAAATTGGGGCAGATGTGCACCGTGCGCTACCGAGCCTTTCCAGCTAACTGGGTAAGCCTTCTATACTTGTTGTGTTTCCGCGAATTGACGCAGAAAAACGTGTGCGTGATGCATACTCATGGCTCGGGCCTGAGTCGAACAGACATAATCTGCTGTCAATCGTTCTTGTTCGAGTAATTGGGGCAAATGCGCCCCACGCGCTACCGAGCCGTTCCTGTCCTCCCGCAGGTCTTTGATGCTTCACAGTTCTCGATAAATCGACGCAGAAAAAAGTGGAACTGGATGAAAAAGGGATCCCGGCTCGGGCCTGAGTCGAACAGGCAGAATCCACTTTCAATCCTTTTTCCTATCCCTCGGAAAGCTCTCCATACGCGATCCGTTCGCTATCCTCGACAGAAAAAATGCTGATTCAGGACTAATGGCTCGGGCCTGAGTCGAACAGGTATGATCGGCTTTCAGTTTCAAGACGAATTGGAGCATATGCGCCCCGCGCAACCGAGCCTTCCCTTGCCCTAAGTTACGTCTTTGTCATTCATAATTCTCGATGTAACGCAGGAAAAAAAATATCTGTGAAGGATATAAATGGCTCGGGCCTGAGTCGAACAGGCGGGGTCTGCTTTCATGCGTTCCTCTGAAACAATTAATCGGGGCAGATGCGCACCGCGCGCGACCGAGCCTTCTCCCTCCCACTCGTGAGTGGCTCATACCCAACACCGGTGCCTTGCGCCACACAGATAAAAATCCGAAGAACACGCGGGCTTGCTGTCAAATTTCTACAGGACTAATTGGGGCAGACGCGCACCACACGACCGAGCCTTCTCTCTCTAGCTGGTAAGGCCTCCCTACCCAACACTCTCCGCGTGGGCCAGAAAAAAACAGGTTCTACAATACCTATGGCTCGGGCCTGAGTCGAACAGGCAAGTCTGCTTCGCATGTATACTCCAAGACTAATTGGGGCAGATGTGCATCGCGCGCTACCGAGCCGTCACCTATCCCCCCGCAGGTCTTTGATGCTTCACATCTCTCGATGAATCGATACAGAAAAAAGCGGAACTACACACAGGCATCACGGCTCGGGCCTGAGTCGAACAGGCAGAATCCGCTTTCAATCCGTTTGCTGAACCCGACAAATTGGGGAAGATGCGCACCGCGCGACCGAGCCTTTCTCCTCTTCCGAGAAAATCCCCTATCCTCCTCGTGCTCCCGCGAACTGACTCAGGCAAAAAGTGTCGGTTAAGACCATGAATGGCTCGGGCCTGAGTCGAACAGGCGGGGTCTGCTCAACTTCTCAAGCCTGTGAATTGAGTGCAGATGCGTACCGCGCGACCGAGCCTTTCCACCTCATTTGGTAAGCTCTTCATACTCGCTGTGTTTCACCCTGGCATCCCATCCAGAGAAAACTAAATCCCACAATCGACCAAACACGGCTCAGCCCCGAATTGAACGGGATCGCCTCTGCTCAGACGTCAATCATGTTCTTGAATACTATGCGCAGGTGTTCGCCACGCACCACCGAGCCTTCCCCTCCATCCACAACCCTTGACATCCGCGATGCTTTCGATGAATGCCCATTGCCCAAAACAGGACTACCCCCCAGATCAAGCAGGACCTCCTGCGATTCCCAGCACGATTCGTCTAGGCGGCGGGCGCAACATCCCATCCTGGAAATCCAACTGCGCATACCTGCGAAAACAGCACATATCCATTACGGCTCCGCCCCGGATCGAAAGGGATTAATTCTGCTCAGATGCGGACCATTGGTGACTATGCGCAGACGTGCGCCATGCACCACCCAGCCTTTCAATCTACCCTCGTACGTTCTTGATACTCAACATTTTTGCGCGCGGGACCGAAAAAATGGATCTCGAATACCCCATGGCTCGGGCCTGAGTCGAACAGGCATGATCTACTTTCCATCTGTGCTTTTCCTTTGAAGACTAATTGGGGCAGATGCACCCCGCGCGACCGAGCAAACCAACACTGGGTTCCGAGCCGAACGCAAGAGGTTCTTCAACCGTGGTAATAAGCTGTGGTACCACGGGGGCTGTCAGAACATCTGCGATAATTCGGCGACCCGTCGTGGCCTCTTTATACTGTGCGCGGACATCCGGGGCTATGGACAAGAGCTCTCGGTGCGAGATTGTGGCTGGAACATTCATGGACCGGTCAAAGACGTCCGTCGCAATTTTATTATCGAAAACCGGGGTGGCGGTTAGATACGCGGGATCGTGTTTCTTCACGGGTGCGGGCGCCGGTGCTCCGTAGTTTCGGCCTTTCGGTTCGGCATAGGCGGCATCGCGCGCTTTGGCGTATGGGTGCTCGGGGGCGAGCTGAGACGCGTCGGTGGGAGCCGCTGGAACCGTTGCGCGCGCAGGCGTCGGTACGAGGGGGACGTGGGCCGGAGATGGGGGACGTTGCATGTGAATCGGCTGTTCTGGCTCGTCGATCGGGCCGCCTGCGTCGGCAGCTCGGCGCGCTTGCGCTCCGGTCTGCAAGGCATACTGTGCCTGGCATATATTTTCTAGTACCCGGTTCTCTTCATCAAGACACTTCTGGTGCTCCTCGATGGTAAGGCGGTTCAATGGCTGGGCATATGAGTAATTTGTACGCTCGCGCAAATTACGGCTCCGGGGTACAACTTCAATACGGCAGATTTACAATCTGCGTAAGTATTCATGTCGGTGGTAAACTATGCCAGAGCTTCCCAGGCGTCTTGGTCGCGGACGCTGAGGAATCTCGTGGCATGTGACTTCTTCTCCGCAGCATCGGTAATAGTGCAGCGGGTAAAATGAAACTCGAGGTCGGAAAAATAACGTGGAAGCTCTCGTGGCTTGGTCGAGTCGAATGTAGGAGTGTTACAATCTCCTCGAGCTGGCAAGGTAGGTTGAGCCATTGTGGAGATGTCTAGAGAATGCGGTTTGATAAAATCTTCGGGTTCGGCTGGTCGTAAGAGCGGCGGCGATGGCGAACGGGACGGGGTCGAAATACTCGAGTGATGTGAAAGGTGGTATGGAACTGGTTCAAATAGCAATGACTCGTCTGGGTTATAACCAGCGGCGATTAATTCTTGACGTAGGTCACGGAGTTCGTTCCCTCGCAAATTACAAGACTGGTTGGAAGCTATGTAAGAACCCCTCGCGGTGGGCTCCAATATGATACAGCTACTCCGGATCTAAGAACGGAGCTGATCAAATAAATGAACAATAACTCTCCGGGAACTAGAGCAATGATGTGATGTGCGAGGTAGGTCTAAGACGTCCAGACCCCAATCAGGTAGGTGTGAGGGGGCTCCGGTGGCGCGACGGCGGAGGTTCGGGCTACTCGAACCCGGTGCGGTCTTCGGTGCTAACTCGGCACGATGGTGGCTTCAGCACAATGGTGTGCGCGACGTGAACTCCAGCACTCGGCGTGCGACGGGGACTTCATCGCAAATGCGTGATGGACTGGGGCGATGGAGGACGGAGGCGATATACTTATAGCAATGCAGGGGTGCAACAAACTGGAGTACATGGTAAACTATGAGGGCTTTTATAGTAAATGGTAGACTCAAAGGGGATATGTAAACTGTGCAGAACGGGCTGAGTAAGGCAGGGTCGGGTGAATACCCGAGGCTTTGTAAGCTCAGTATCCGAAAGGGGAATTGATAAACCGTGGGAACTTGGTACCCATCCGGGCTCGATGTTGCGTGCAGAGGGAGCTGCTGCGCATCACCGATTCAGTGGCTGTACGGTTCACTGAACCGAACCCGCGGTCCAGTTCAAGGTTCAGAAAATTTGGTCCTGAACCGGACCTGAACCGGACCGCGGCAACACTACCCCTTTGTTGCTCACTCGTTTCGTCTCGCTACTGGCTGACATTCGTTCGCAGGGTCGTTCCCCGTCTCGATCCGCCCCCACCTCCGTCTGCTGCTTAGGCGCGGCGCGCCATCCGCGTTTAGGTGCATTCCGCTTCATCTTTGATTGTTGCGAGCACGCGTACTTGGGTCTATCCTTCCCTTCACTTTTAAATATCGGGTCACCGCAGGGAAGGGAGCGCGTAACAGTGGTGCTGGGGCCGCATGCGCATGGCGCAGCGGAGGCGTTTGGCGGGGATGTGACACACTATGCTGCGGGCCTGCGGGAGTGCGGGGGGTACTCTAACGGTGGGCGCTAACAGCTCGAGGTGCACGGAGGAAAGGAGCGGAGCTGCTGAGGAGTTCAACTGAGGGCGAGCCAGTCCTCGGTCGTGTGGGGTTCGCGCCGGATAGCCGTGTCGAGAATCATTGCCTGAGAGTACAGCGAGTCGTTTGCGCGGGTTGCCGCATGTCCCGATCGTGCTAGTCCCGGCTGAGGAACTTCACCGCGCGTGGGCTGGGCGGCGCTTCAGGAGTTTGTGCGCTGTGGATACGTACACAGCACTTACGTGAGTCTGATTCCCGGTACTCCTCCGTGCTCATCCGCACCTTGCGCTGCATCCATGCTTAATTTTTCAAACTCGCGCACACTCTTTCTGTCCCATCCATGTCCCAGTCCCTTCCTCGGGCCACTCTGAGTCTCGGTTTGTGTACAACCGCTCTCGGTATTTTTATACCTTACTAAATCTTACACGTGCATGTGAGCGCCCTTGAATTTGACATCGGGGGTGCGTGGTCGTGTTAGCTGTCGATCTGTCACTCTGTTTTTGCTGAAGCTTCGTTACCTGCGTCGTTCCACCATAACCCCACTACCCCCCCCACTTACAATGGCAGCACCTTCACCTTCATCTCCCGCAGCTGGACCCCCTCAGTTCCCATTGGCTACTGTGATCCTCGAGAGCATTATCCCAGTGCTTAAGCTTGCCAAAGCAGGTGTTACGGGGATTGGCCTTCCCGGTGTGGAAGGGGCAGTCAATGCTATATGCGAGGTGGCGGATATGATCTCGGTGCGTGATTCCGGCTGCTCCATGTACTGTGGGCTACTAACTCAGTCGAGGAGACGATGAAATCTAACAAGGAAGACCTTTCCAAGCTCGCAAATTTGCTGGATAAATTGACAGCTATCAATGCCTCGGGTGCGGGTGGTGATCTGAAGCAACGGCTTGCTGTAATTTCTTCGTGGGTGTTCTTCATGTGTGCTATTGCATCATAATTCATTCATACTGGACTTGTGCAGCGACCTCGGAGAAATCGAGGTCAAGTGCAAGGCTCTGGAAGAGGAGGGCCGACTCAAGAAGTTCTGGAAGGGCAACGAGTACAAGTAACAGATTCAGGAGATCAAGAATTCTATTGCAGCTCAAATCCACCAGTTCACGGTATGCATTTTGCAATGTTCCCTGGCCCTTGTTCTGATTTTTTATCTTGCAGTTCTATGGCAACATCTCGATTGAGAAATCGGTCGACACCATCTTGAAGTACGTGGAGATCACCCATACATCCGTGCAAGTCCCTCATCCGGAAATGTTAGTGTTTTCATTCTCTCAAAGCTCAAAACTGCCCCGGCACGCTACAATGCAGAGAACACACCCAATAAATGCATGAAGGGCACAAGAGTTGACATAATCAAAGATGTCATTGCCCGGCTGACCAGCACTCCTGGCTATTCTCACCAGGTTCTCATGCTGAGCGGGGTTGCGGGATCAGGAAAGTCCACAATCACAAAAAGTGTGGCATCAATTCTGGCGGAAAATAAACAACTAACTGCTTCCTTCTTTTTCTCACGGGACTATGAACAGCGCAAAGAGATCAAGCACCTTTCCACCACACTTGCGGTCCAGCTCGCGGAATATGATGGTGTTTTTCGCACTCATCTCATCCACTTGCTGCAGACTGATTCGGATGGGATCATTGATGCGGAGCCACACCTGCAGTTCCAGAAGATGGTTGTGGAGATACTCGCAAAGATGCCACCCAGTTTTCAACCTTGGATCATCTGTCTGGATGCTCTTGATGAATGCGGAAAGGATCGTGGCCAGATCTTTCTCCGATGGCTTTCAGACAGCATTAGCCGAATTCCAAAACACACCCGATTCTTTCTGACTGGGCGCCCGGACGTTCCTTCATGCCTCACAGTTCACACTCTTAAGGATCGGGTGCATGATATAATCCTCGACATTGATGCCCCAATTGTCACACAGGACATCTATGTGTATATTGTGAGTTCACTTGATGGTGCCAACTGGACTACACCACGCCCTTGGAAGATCCAGAGTCATGATGTGGAAGAAATAACCAGCCGTGCAAAGGGACTATTTGTTTTTGCAGCTACAGCTGTTCGCTATGTGATTGCAGGACTGCCACAAGCCCCACCACAAGAATCAGTTAACTATCTTCTTGGTGGGGACTCCCTCACTGATCTACACACACTGTACCACCAGATT